CTGCTCATCATGCATCTCAGCTAACCAGACGCGTCTTTTGTCAGAGAACCTTTCAATATATTCTAGTCTTGGCACACCATCAATGAGACGTGGAAACTCACCATTTGAGATCCTTGGCATGATTGTCTCATCTGAGATGACTTTATCATAATATTTATCCAGATTGTCCAGGCAGACTTTGAGAGCTTGAAACATGCGGGCAGCTTCCACAGCTGTATTGTAATCATAGCCTGCTCTGTCAAGTGGGATAACAGCAGTCAGTTTGTCAATGCAAGGGTATTCAGAAAGAATACCACCACAAACAGATATATTCATTCCTGGATAACAATGATGAGTGTGAATGAGAGAGGCAAATGAAAAAAAAAAGAGCAGAAAAGGAAAAGAAAAATAACCTTCCAAAATTACAAGGAAAGAAGGAAAACATGCGTGTGAACACATGTCCTCACGACCTTTCAACAGGTCTCCAAGATATTTGGCATAGTAACATGCGTTCTGAAAGTATGCACAACTTCCTGTGCCGAAATCAGTTTTTCCTTCAAAATTACACAACATAAAGCTCCCTTTCGAAGAAGTACTCTTCAAGATGGTACCATCTGTCGCCATGTTGTATAGACCAAGGGGATGCAGGTGTATGCCAAGAAAGCTGAAAAAATTTCTTATCAGTTCCATTCGTTGATGCTCATTGTCCAGGAACTCCGAAAGAGGAGGAACCAGTTGCTCAACTAACGCTTTATATCTCACAACCTCATTATCTGTATCCTGCGCATTTAACAGAGCGAGAAACTCCTCGAAGATTTCATGGTAGAACTGGATTGGAATGTCGGAGCGCCCTTGTGGGCGGTGATGGTAGATAAGGTCAATATTCGCACATGATTTGATTCCTGGTCTCGAATATTCACTAGGCGAAGGAAGGCTGTTCAGTTCAAGAATTCTGCGCTTGCGTGACGTCGCTGAAATTAAGACGGACAGATGATTTACAATTCAATACTTCCAATATCATGTTTAAACAGTTCAAGATATGCGTACCTTCTTCCTCACCCTCCCTTTTTTTAAGGGGTTCTAAAAGCAAAGAAACGAAGATATTAAATATGATTTAGCCAACAGGAGCAGCTCTACGTCCCAATAAACGGGGTGGAATGACCATGCATAATAATTGCTTCCAAGCTATAATATCCTCCGTTCCTAACAAACCTGAATACCCAACACTCAAGCACAAGCTCATAACCCATATTACTATACCTACTCTAACCCACGCACACACTACGCTATGTCCCCAACGCCCGAGTCACAAAGTCGTTACCTGGTTGCGGTTCTACGAGCCCCCTCAGATACCGAATCCTCGCATTGTCATCCCTATATACTGACAGCACAGCGACTGCCTCTTCTTTCTGGGCAGGATTCTTGGTAAAATACACGCAACAGAGTCGTCTTTTCGTCCTCCGTAAGAGCAAGACGCGAAATTTCTGAATACAGTTCCATGAGGAGACAAGTATCGTTTGGTTAACGCTGTTCAGTGGCTTAAAATTAATGACGTATGATTAGGAACTTTCTAGACTTTCACAATGTACCGGTAACTATTGTCCCCCTGTATGCAGAATGTGGCCAATGATAATCAATGCGCAGAAATTTGCGTTTGCTATAAAATAACATCACGTTTCGAATATGGGGACCTTTGTTTTCATTAAATTGACATAATTTGCGAGTTTTATTTTTTATTTAAGAATTTAAATATGCATTGCAAAGATTAACGTAATATATATACAATAATTTTGTCATCTTGACTTTATTATCCCTTTAGATATATTTGAAGATTCACTAGAGCGATTGCATGGGAGGAAATACTCAGACCCAAAGCCATTAATGAGTACCCCTATACTTTGGTCGCGCTAGTGAAGTCTATGTTACATATAATTATCATTATTATTAACACCATTATTTTCTTCCCCTTTTCTTTATCAACCCATTCCCGTACTGCTTCGACAGTTATTTTCCGCGAATTAGTTTTTCGTTGGTAAAAGTTATTCAGTGTAGAGTTGGCAATGCCTTTCTCCCCGCGTAACTCGCGAATTTGAGTAGCCACTTTGGTAAATGAAAAGTCCGGGTCTAGCTCAGATTTCGTATCAAAGAATTTTTTAAAATCTTTCCATAGATTTTCGACGTCTTCTGCGTATTTTCGTTCGCTGGGTAGCTTGCTGGATTTAGATTTGATTTTGATTTTGATTAATTCGACTGCTTGAATTGCTATTTCAAGCTTTTGATTTATATTCCACAGTTGAATGTATGTTTTATAATGGAGAAAATGACCAATGACAAGTCCTATTAACAACCCACAAACGAATTCACTACTGGAAAGGAACATTTTGATTATCGGTTATTTGCTTTTTTATAAAATGACTTGTTTTAGTATTGACGTTGAGTAGATTTGCAGTTTTTTTTTTAAAACAAAATTGAATCAGGTTGTGCGTTTTATAATAAATTCTCGGTATCAAAATTGCAAATTATTTATTATTTAACGTATTTTTAATATCGGTTTGATTTAGGCCAAAAGCGAGGCCATTCTTCCTACAACTTAATTTAATATTAGGTATAAGGCTAAGTATAAATATACACATATACAGTGTGACACGAAATTATTGATAATAAATTTAACGCGATTCAAACGCCAAATATCTCAACCAATTTGGAACCAAAACGCGTCATATAAAAAATAAAAACAAAGTATTGATTCGCGGTAAACATTAA